AAACGAACACCAGTACTACGCTGTATTCTGGCGAGTATCAATACTGGAATACAACTTTCAAGGAGTATCCTAAATCACTTTGGGATGTGTCTTGGAGTTACATGTTTGTAACAAATGGCTCAGAGTGAGGAATCGCTGCCATGATATTGTGAAGGTCAAAAAATTAAGGATATTTTAAAAGAGGATCATGTTAATGGAGCACAGGTCTCTCCTTGCCTGTTTAACGGAATGATTTTGATTCAGACACTTGCCTTGAAAGTCCTTAAATCACTGATAAGTGGAAACTGAGCAAATATACAATATAAAGGGTGAAGCTTCCTTATGCCTTCAGGAAACAGGCTGCTTGGCTGCATAAACTTTAAGTTTGTCTCAGCATTTTTTTTTCTTATATTACATAGAAAGATTAGATTACAGATATGTTTGTACTAGCATTTACAGGGCGCAGATTCTCAATCCTGTCTCATGAATATATATAAAATATTAAATAAACAAGGTATTTACATACATTGCTGGGTTTATTGATTGCTTTTATAGGGACATAGTCAAGAATTTTATATTGAAAATTGCATGCTCCCGGGAACAGCAGGATTTGAGCATGTTGTTGCTGCATTTCTGCGCTTTGTTCCTGAGAACTACATACACAGGAGGCTCAAAGATAAGCCGCCTCGTGCTAGAAACGTGAAGCTACGGGAACCGTTTACACGCAGAAAGGTGATAGTGTATCCAGGGCTCTCGGGGTGATGGTAACAGGAGGAAATAGCTGCAGTAACGTGGTGGAGAGGACTGAGCGCTCCGCCGGGCCTGGGAGCGCGGCCGCCACGGGGAGCAGAGCCGCAGGCACCTGGTGCCCTCCGTCAGCCTCCTCCACGCCGCGGCGCGGGAAAACGAACCTTAACCTTTGCAGGGGCCGCAGGGTCAGGCTGGAAATCTCATTCCTAAGTGGCAGCTGCTGCTGTTTTGTAACACAGGCTGCATTGTACTAGGAACGCCTGTTTATTAAAGGTCTGGCACGGAACCATTCGGGGGCGAAATACAAAGCTGACTGATGTGACATTCAAGTGGTAAAATCACTACTAATGTAAATATTGTTAGTATTAAAAGCATTCCCTTCCCATGCGTGTGACACAGCCAGAAGCTGTGTTGGACCATGGCAAATGAAAACCAGCTAACCTATTCGCTTGGATGTCCTTAATGGAAGGAACAGGACAAATATCCACAAATATGGCAAGATAGTTAGTTTTTTAAAAGCTTTAAGATTTTTCTTATCTATTTACTTAATTTCTGATTATACAGATACACAGTTCCTATTTTAAATGCTATTTTAATATATAAACTAGCATAACAGCCATAGCTCGCTTAACATGCTAATTTTGATAAAAGGTTAGTCACTGTGTGTTTATTTTTGTTTCAAAAATGACACGGCAGAGGTGAAAACTGCCAGTACCCTCTTCCTCCTTCCTGCAGCTTTGTCATTTCAAGATAAGCAGGAGCTTAACAGCACACAGCAGTTTCTGCAGGTTCACACAGTTCAGTCTGTCTTGAACACAAAGGCAGTAAGTGTATTTGTGAAGGCACTCGGAAGAAATACATGTTAAATGTTCCTACTAAGCAGCCTTATTTACCCAGGATCATCACCACCAAACACATTTTACAAAAATAAGCGTGAAAGAGGAAGAGCTCTTCTGTATCATTTCATATGAAAGCAGTAAAATACTAGGGCTTATTTTTACATATGCACGTTCCAAAGAATTGGTGCTATTCTGCAAACAGTAATTATGCCAGGCTCATTCTTACAAAACTTCCACCTTTCTGACAACTCATGTAACACGTGCCATGAAAATCACTTCACATATGGTCCTCGTAAATGATAAAGAACGTAACGGCTTCTTGTTTGTTTGTTTCAGTTCTAGCTCTGCGTTTGGAAGTGATGCCTATGTCGGACAGACATTTTGGTCACATTACACAGCTGATACAGCAAAGGGAAACGCAGGTTTGTAACATGGAGCTGGAGGAATCCACAGGCCCCCGTTCCCTTGGTTATTTGTCCCTGTGACTCTGGAGCTCTGAACCGCTGGTCGGAAGGTAGAAACGTCCCTCCCTGTTTAGCTACAGTTATCCTTAAAGAGTAGTAGCTGTTTTAGCCGCCTGCGCAGTCGCGTGTTTGAACACGTGTTGGCGCCTGGAAACAGAGCGGCTCCGGCAGGGCAGGATGCGCCGCACTGGGCTATACCATACTATACGGTAGGATGCGGTACTATACCGTACTATGAGGGAGTGCGGAACTATGCTATACTATACGGTATATGCGGAACTATACCATACTCTACGGTACGGCCGGCCGGCGCGGCCCGCCTGGCAGCGGCTCCCCCCGCCCC